ATGTTATTCTTTTCCGAGATAAAAAAGCAAGACCGTCAAGACTTATATTCTTATATGGATGTATATCGTTTGTATTGAACAGAACACAACGTCCAACATCTGGCAGGTTGAGAGGTTCGAGCGGTTTGGAGTATCTAATAAAAGAACAAGCCCTGAAGTACTTGTGATATGACTACATATTACTCATTTTGAGCCTTTACCAGATCAATTTAGGGTCAGGTTTTCACATTTTAAGTAATAAAAGTTTATTTGATGGCTAAAAATCAAACTAAAACTTGACTTTTGTCAAATAAACTACTTATTTGCTGGTTGGATAACAACTACCTGAATGTTTTATACTTCACTCTTAGCTAAAACAGAGAAGATATAAGATTAGATAAGACTCTAAGGCTTAACAGATTCATGTATTTTACCAACTTAAAATCCGATGCAAAATTGAGAGCAGCTATAAGAAGCTAACCCTGCTCTTTTGCAACTATTTGTTGATTCTGACTACCCACTCAGCTTCCCCCTAACCAAACAACCGCACAACTGACTAAGCATCCCATTCATTCAAGTTTCCATTTTCAATCACATATTGAATTTCACTTATGTCTGATGAGAGCACCAGGTCTTTTGTTTGGCCTTTTTGTGATGTGCTGGCAAAGCCCCCCTTTCACAGCCAGGCTGTCAAGAGGAGCATGCTGTCCTTAAAAAGGAGACAGGGCAACAACAGGGCAACATCTGATTAGCATTCACAGCACTATCTTCACTCCCTTGGTATTTTATTACCACAGGTGCAGGGGCATTCATTGATCAGATGCACGCTACAGGCGAGGTTAGCCCTTAATTGAAAACAGCTCTATTTATACACCTGCAGGCACTAAAGGTCTCCAAGAGAGCACAGGGAGGTTGAAAAGAAGAGAAAGGAAGGGAAAAAAACAGAGCAGTGACGGAACAGAGAAAAAAAAAAGACATGCCTTGGGAGACATAGGTTAAGGCCTACAGGGAAGGCAAAAGACATTCCCAGAACAGCATGTCTACCCAGTGCCATGAGAGGATAAGTGTGCAGGTGCAGAAGCCTTAAGAGAAACAAAGAATACCATTTGTTAAATGTCGGAACAAATAAATGCAAATCCAAAGGCACGGTTCCTAAGCATAAACATCTTTTTTTTTTTATTCGGATGGATTTTTTTCTTTGCTCGTCGAAAAACAACTTCATTTAGTCTGTTTTAAGTACAGCTGCCAGCTTTTGCGGCCGCACTCATTTCTTCACGACACTGTGCTGATTGTGCTTCGGCAACTTTGCAGGTGGTACATTGCATTCTGGGGCTTGTGTTTTCACAGTGTGACAATAACAGGGGGTCAGGGGGTCAGTTTGGTGGAAGTCCAATCAGAAAACCACAGAGGAAAGAGCAATCTGCATTTAGACAGAGAGGGGGACACGGCTCAAGCTTGCCACTTTTGATGGAAAAAGTCTGCGAAAGCTGCGCTGTTTTTTTTCTGACTTGTCAAGGTCTTTTGCAAGATGTCAAATGTCCAAGTGTGGGGAAGCAATGAAGGCTGTTAATTTGTTCAAAACTCATAAAGGAAAAAAAAAAAAATAAAAGATGTCTGCTTATAGTCGCCTACAGGTTGTTGGGACGGAGGCAATAATCCAAACAGCAGGTGAAATGTACCCACACTTCACTCTCAGGTCACATGATGACAAAAGTGTGAGAAAATCTCAAAGAGAGCAGATGTATCGGATGATTATTTAAAGGTTAGATTTAATGTGAAAATTGTACATTCATTTACTATAAGCTGTCATTTACCTAGAACAGGATCACATTCGATATTAAGTCTTTTCCTTTTGAAATAACATAACCCCGCTGGTTAATTACCTTGGAGAGGGTTCAAAAACCACTCGCTGCGGTCGGGCCAGCTCAGAACAACAGACTGTAAAACTGCTGCGAGTCATGTCTCTGCCAGCACTGTCCGATTATTAACGGAGCATTTTCGTCCGTCTACTGTAAAGCTCTGATGAAAAACAAGGTTCTCTATAATTGATAATGGCAAAAATTACATAGTAGAGAGAGACAGGAGGGCTATTTTGAGACTATTTTGTATTTGAACCAGATATTTCATTTATTCTCTCCAAATTCCTCAAACAGCTTTTAGTATTCAAAGCAAAAATCAGTCATGACCTGGGCAGATGGAAAGCACAAAATATCTCTTCTCATTGTTTCAAAGTGATGTTTCTTTTGTACATGGTTCCTGTCAAATTCAGTATTAAAAGGCCAAAGGGACACAGCTCTGCTCCCTTATTACACTTGTGAGTGTGTACACTTGACACTTATTAAACACATGTGCCTGGTTAAGACGACGTTACATTGGTTTTGCACTCAATAGAAGTCCCAGTGTGGCTTTGTAATGGTTGTGGCAAAACTTTAAAGGAATCCTCCATTAAAATAAACTCATTTTTTACAAAATATTCACCCCTTGTACGCTTGAAAGGTGGCTCTGAGAGTAGAACTGAAATTGATGAATCGATAATTGAATTCACTTTTCAAGCAAACCTATTAAACATTCTCTAATTTCAACTTCTCAACTGTGAGGATTTGCTG